ATACAAGTTGTGGTGGCGCTTCAGGGAAGGAAAGTCGCTTTGGGCTTAGTACCTTCTCGGCAAGTACTGCTCTAGACGCGCCAACCACCCTTGTTGGGTAACGGCGGTTGCGCACGATAGCAGACAGTGGCGGCGCCTTACTAGGGTTGGTAGGCGCGCCCAGGATCACATTTTTTGGGTTTTGGGGGATGGCGAGGTTAGTTTCTGGGATGAGTGGTGGTTAGGTGATAGGCCTTTGTCTAGAGATAGGCAGGTGTCGCATTCTCCCTACCTGCTTGTGCGCGACCTTTGGACGAGGGGGTCGTGGGATAGGGGGAAGCTTGACAGAGAGTTGGGCTTCGGGGCGGGTTTTAGTGAGCAGTTATTAGATCAGATCCAGCAGATTCCCATCTCGGGGGACGGTTCGGATGGTATGAGGTGGAGACTTACATCATCGGGTGTGTTTTCTACTACCTCTGCTTGGGAGCAGATCAGGCTGAGTGATCGGCCTAATCTTCTCTTCGGAGCCATTTGGAGCGATCTTTTCACCCCTACCATGTCTGTTTTCCTTTAGCGCCTTCTCTTGCGCCGGATACCTGTGGACACTGTCCTTCATGCGAGGGGGATCTCTTTCCCCTCCCGATGTGTGTGTTGTTCTGAGACTGGACGTCATGAGACCGAGACCTTTAGCCACCTTTTTCTAGAGAGTGAGATTGTGAGGAGAGTGTGGGAGCATTTTGCTACTTGGACACATATATCCCTACCCTCCACAGACAGTATTTTTGAGCTCCTGAGTTTTTTCTCACAGAGCACACACTTTAGACACGTGCGCTTCCTCATTCCTTGTCTGATCCTTTGGTTCACCTGGACGGAAAGGAATAGTGCGAAGCATAGGGATATTACTTTCTTGCATTCTCACATTGTTTTGCAGGTGGAGAGACACATTTCGCTCCTCACGGCATTGGGCAGGCTTTCTGCCCGTGACTGGACAGGCTGCATGCCACCACACCGCTACAGGGTGGCTTCCCCTTCGCCTGTTCGGTCCCCTCGACCCAGAGCTGTAGTTTGGCTTCGACCCGATTCTCCTTGGGTCAAGTTGAATACCGATGGAGCTTTCGATCGCCATAGCGGTACTGCCGGAGGAGGAGGCTTGATCAGGGACCATAGTGGAGCCCTTATCACTGCCTTCCACACATCCCTTCAGGCCTCCTCGAGCTACGATGCAGAGATTCAGGCACTACATATTGGCCTCCAGATTGCTGCCGACCTCGCTAGTCATATTTGGATTGAGCTGGATGCTGCGGCTGTCGTCACCCTCCTGGCCTCGGGTCATCAGGGCTCTTGGCAGATTCAGCACTCTCTTATGCGCATTAGAGATTGTCTTCGGTCTGTCCGTTACAGGATCACGCACATCTTCCGTGAGGGGAACAGACCGACTGATTACCTTGCCAGCCTTAGCACTACCACACCAGACATGCACACGTATCAGACCGACACTGCTCCACTCCGCCTTCGCACGCTAGTTCGGATGGAT